TATGTTGTTACCATAGGTAGTCTGTGTAATTCATCCACACAATGTGATGTGAAGTACAACATTACTCAGGCACTGTGGCCAGATCACTGTGTGAAGAACACGAACGACGCTGAATTTGCTGTAGACATAAACAAAGAAAACAGTGATATCATCGTAAGAAAGGGGTACCATTGTCAGGTATTGAATATTCAAAGCATCATTTTAATATTTAAAAAGTATTAAAAATATCTCCTTTTTTGTATTGGCTAATCAAATATATTCTCTAGAGAAAATCTTTTCCTTTACATTTCATGGTTTATGTTTAATTTATTCTTTTTAATTGTGCATAAGAAAAATAGACATTTATTTATGAAGGATATATTCAATATCAAAGTCCATAAAACAATACAAATTAGGAGCAGAGCAAACACGGACCTCTAAAACATCAGAGGTGGGATCAGGTGCCATGGAGGAGTGAGCATCCTGACCGGTCACACCCGCCGTGTGCTCCTTGTCATGATCGGGAAATAACGGAAAAATCCGTCAATTCAGTGTATAAATAATGGACTAACAATTAGTTTGAAAAATGTCAGTCAGCATTTGACTCAATGATAAATTGTATTTGCTGACAAGGTCATTGTGTCGACCAAGGAACTTACAGAATAATGGCTTTAAACGAGACTGCTGATATTCTTGTTTCATCAACTTGATTGTCAATAACTTACCTGTTTTAGAAATTGTTCATACGTAGAGCATGCTCTTGAGTATCGAATATTACCTAATAAATATTGCACAGCAATTACAACTTTATCTCTTGGTAATACTGAAACCAACTTTTATTCGCGAGCGAGAAATATCCGCGAGTTTTGCAACCTACTTTAACTCGCGAATATTAATAGCAGCGAATCGTTTATTTGGCTTTGTATTTGCAGAGAATAGTATCATTGATAATAGCATTCATTAATCGTCGCTGATCGATTTCAAACTGAAAAATCAACGCGAATACTAGTTGGTTTACAGTAAATTAGTGTGGCAACCTATAAATTGCACAGGAAAATATCGATGGAACCTGGTATATGGTAACCTCATCCATCACAAAACCAACAACAAACGAAAAATCTGCAAATCTTTAGTGTTGGTTGTGTGGCTGAATAGATGAAATATCCATCTTATAATTTTAGATAGATTCCTATTCTGCATTTTTCGATAATGGTGGATTCAGCCAAACAGAGCTTGATGCCAAACTGAAGGAAGAAAATATAGAGACGGTCATTATTACTGGTCTGGCGTTGGACTACTGTGTTTATTATACTGCTAAGGATGCAAAGAAGCTAGGCTAGTTTGTTTTTTTTATTGAACTGAGCTCTTTGTAAGTCATTGCTTTATATATTCATAGAAAAATACATTTAGTTTTATTTTAAAAAAGTATATCATCATTAGTCCATGCTCTTTCCTCTATTCTATCTGTTTATCTTTTAGAAAAAAAACTTTTCCTTTTCTGCAAAATTATAATTGTTCATATTTTTTACCATAATCTTTTCTTCTATATCATTGCTTTAATTTTAAAATACACTTACATGTACATAACATCTTTGCTTTATTTTATTTTCTTAGGATATAACGTATATGTTGTACAGGATGCCACAAGAGGTGTATCGAATGTGACTTCGGTTGGTGCCATTACAGACATGGACTCGAGAGGTAGGTGAAGGGTGTCTTCCCACTCAGCCATCATATTAAAATCAAATGCTTAACTTTTTTTAAGCTTACGACTATAATAATATAATAGTTTGGTTTTTTATTTAGGTATTCGCATGGTGCTGTCCAGTCAGCTTACAGCGGTTATGGAGAATCTCACAAGCGCAGGGTTTATTATGCAGAGTCCTTGTTTTTCTTGGAAAACAATAGTTTTCATTATTATTGGGTTATTTTTGCATATGTTGGTACCTCTCTAAACTATTTAAATAAAATAATCAATGCAAATATTTGAAGTGTGGCCGGAAATTCACACACCGTCCTCTTTGTTTAAAAAACACAGCATTAGTACATGTACTTTATGTACATTAAGGCTACATGTAGATACGAAGGACGTCTGACGACATCAACGTGAGCTTGCGTAATAAGATTTCCAAAAGTCGTCCTTATTCTCAAAGTATAAGTCCACTGTTCTAATAAATGACAAATTAATTCATGTTTTGTCTTATCTTCATTAGAATTTTTTTTGATATGCAGTGGGTGTTATTTCAATTCAAGGCATCGGGCAATTTTTGGAATTAGATTCTTCTTCCAAAAATCGCATTGCCTACAAACATGCATCGGAAAATCCTTAAAAGGTACTTTACTTTTTAGATATAAAATAATGTTTGTTGCAGACCTGTTTGAATGCAACCATGTTAAATAATGGAAAACTCATCAGCAATTGTATTTTTTAATCAACAACGATTCAATGTCAAAGAGAGGAAGAATCCTCGTATTCAACTTCTTGTCAGTCATTATTACTCCAGTAGTCCAGATTGGACCATAATTGGGGAACAAAATTTTATATAACATCTTTAGTTTTTGTATAATTCGTATAATTTCTTGTAAAATGAAAATAACGCGTTTGTTTTACTTGAAGCATATAGAGCTGATGGTGCCTATTATAAGTCTCATTTCTTCGTAAATTTCAATATTTCACAGTATTTACATGTATCCATTTCCTCCACATTTCACCATTTTTTTAAATCTGAATTTCATCAACAACAGTAATATCAGATTCAAGTGGAAAATAGTCTGAAGTATGACCCATTGCTTACTTTTTCATATTGAATATTATGTCTAATCATGACATGAAGAAAATCTAATATGATGAATAATAAGATCAGCAATTTTTTATTTCATACCACCATGCATGTACTCTGAGCAATGAGCTCATAAAATGATACCCCTTCTCCCGTGTGATTATAGCAGCAAAGTCTATGCTTTGCTCTGGGAGACCCAAAATAAGTGTCAGATCAAAAAGAAAATTAAGAGGCGCAGATATAATGGCATTATGTAGTAAAGAATCTATGAATGTATATTAAATTTTTTTTCAGTGGACTGGTACAAGAAGATTTGCAGATAAGAGATGGGTACCCTTCAATAATGTAGAAAGAATGGCAGTGTCCGTGTTTTGGTATGGAGAAACCCAAAATATGTGTCGGATCAAAAAGTGAAAGAGGAGATCACAATGGCATTATGTAACAAAGATTCTTTAAAAATCTCATCTCATTAAATTTCATTCAGTGGTATGACAGGAGTTGCGTAACAGACGGATGGACGACCCGATCACTATATACATTCCCAATTTTTAAGTTGGGTTATGAATGTGAGTTATATATGAAAATAAATTTACTATCCTACACATCAAATTCACATCAGAAAACACAATGAAGAGTTGCTTTTTAAATCAGAATATCACAATGTAAAATTAAATGCATCCATCATTCCATCTACAAGAGTTTTTTCCTTTTAACTAGTTCATATTTGTTTCAAAATACTCTTTTGTGCAACTCCTCCTTTACCACTGAATGAAGTTGAATGAGACTTTCACAGAATGTTTGTTACATAGTGTCATTGTGCACCTTCTATTTTATTTCTTCATCGGACATATTTCGGTTTGCCCATAGCGAAAATTTGACATACCATTCTCTCTCTCTAATATTGAAGAGTGCCCATCTCTTATCCTCAACTCCTGCTATACTACTGAATAAAAATTAATAACTTTCAAAGATTCTTTGTTACATAATGCCATTGTGAACCTTTTATTTTACATTTTTTATTTGACACCTATTTCGGGTTTTCCAGAGCAAAACATGCATTTGCCATTATACTATTTTGGGAAGCGGGGGTTTAATTTAGTGAGCTCAGTGATCACAGTACCTCTAGATTTTATCATAAAATGGATAAACCTGATACTTATACACACCAAAATCCATATTAAAAAATATGTTAATTTCATTATCAAAATCATCAATATTCAAAATATAATGTACAATTTTCCAACATGATTATATCATGTATCATGTAGTTTAGTGACGGCATCGGTAGGTGGCGTCATTGACCAGTACCACGTGATGAACCATAGTGGTAACAGAGAGACGGGGTAGAAATAATATTTACAGTCAAGTCCACATCTGTAACTCCTCTTTGGCATCACGGAAAACAGCGCGTGGTAAATGGCGGTAGTCACTGGGGAAAGATCCTCATATTGAGTTTGTGGTATCTCATCGAAGGAATCTTTTGCTACAGACAAAATAATAACTTAATTTAGATCTTCGTCAAACGCCTTCTGTAGAGCAGATTTCATCTCGTTGGGATCTGCGATCCGGGTTTTGAATGAGCCTGGTTGGATTGTGTGTGACGTCACACCAACGGTATACAATTCTCGTCTACAATATGCAGTGTAAGTTAATCAGATTAAATGTTTTATTAAGCATATATATTTAAAATCTTTCTTGATACAAGATGCATTATCTCAACAATATCTACAACAGTATGCCATCTACCTTTTTTAAATCTCTTTGAATTACTAGTAATAGTACATATATCTGATATGGATCACATTACCGAAAATGGCTAAGCGTTTAATTATCCCCTCCGCTCGCAACGGAATAAGGTGCTTGTATTTGGGTGTGGGTGAGTTAGTTTGTTCTTGTGAGCGTAACGGAAGCGACGTTTTTTGTATTGAAGTCCATGTTTACTGCTATCATGATTTTTAAATATGCTCTTTTGAGAGTTGGTTTTCCGCGTTGACGTACCCTTGATTTGTCGATTGTGATTTTAAATGCTTAAAGATGTATGCTTTACTACTAAGGTATTCTCTTCGAAGCGATCCACCTTTTTATTAATGTAGACAGGTGACTCTTTCTTAGGGTCAATTACAGTGCCCTAATTAGGCTATCCATGTTAATTTCGTCTTTTATAATGATTTCTTTTCATTCTGATATCCTATAAGCCGTCCGGAGAGTGACAGATGTGTGATGTCGCCTCCAAAGCAGACACCTAATGACCACCTTGCACCAGGGTCTGTAAACCCATCATCCGGGTCTGTAAACCC